ACAAGTAGTAGTATATATGTATGTGCATGTACATAGTAGTAGTATGTAAGCAGATGTGCTCCGAGGAGGTGGACAGGCACAGTTAACCTCTTGAGAGGGGAGAATATAATAGGTTGGCCAATGGGGTACTCGTGGCTTAGAAAGCAAGCATGGCGGGCCAATGCTGTGATGGTGCATAGTTAGTGCTAGCTGCTGCATCGCCGTGGGGACCAGGATGGCGGCGAGGCGAGGGCTCGTGCACGCGGGGTCTATTCTGTGTTTGCGGATGGGGCGGCGCGAGGATGGTCGACGAACAGGCTGGTGCATTCACGCCTGCACCCAATGCCCTCGCCTCGTGCTGCCCTCGTAGAACGCAATGCTGCCTGCTGTGCGAGGACGGCTGCTGCATCGCAAAAGAAGTGCAGCTGCTCCCTCTGCCTGCCCTCTTCTTGAATGCGGCAAGGCGTGCCCGTTCTCGCTAAGACGAGCTTCAACCTGCCTGCCGCCCGAATATTGCGCTCTGCCTCCAGACCTGTCCCTCCCTCTCCCTCTGCCTGCCTCGCTCCATTGTGTGTCTGTAAAACCCCCCCGAGACTGGCACCATCACCACATCTCTCTTCTCTCCTCTCCCGGCCCTCTCTCCCTCTCTGCCCCTCTCCGCTCCCCTCAACCCACCCTTGTTCCTTTTCCATCTGTCCCGTCGGCCGTTCCGCACCGACCACCTCTCTCACCCCCGCCACTTCCGTAGTCGCCTGTGAGTACATACAGCTGCTCCCATGTTCACTTCCACACACGATCCCAAACACAACCACTGACACTCGATCCCACAGCCTGACCTCCCTTCTCCCCCGTCTCTCTCCCTCCTCATCCCCTTCTCCCCCCTCTCACGTCCTACCGCCGTCCTTGCGACTTACCCTCTTCGCCCGTGAGTGTTGCGACGTTGCGCCAGTCGCGAAACTGCGTCACTAAACTGCGTCACTGACGACTGCACCAGCACTTTCTCACGGCCATCCCGCAACATGTCCACCGAAGAGCCCCAGCCCGGTCCCGGCCAAGACGCCACTCGTGTTGCCGATCAACTCGACCGCCTCAACATGGACGGCGAGGGTGAAGTGGTCCCACGCACCGAAGAGGAGTATGCCGAGGCGCAGCTCACCTTGCGAGCCATTGTTTCGTCCAAGGAAGCCGGTGTCATCATAGGCAAGGCTGGCAAGAATGTCGCCGACCTACGCGATGAGACTGGTGTCCGCGCCGGTGTCAGTAAGGTAGTTCAAGGCGTCCACGACCGCGTCCTCTCCGTCACGGGCAGTCTCTCTGGCATATCAAAGGCATATGGTTTGGCTGCCAAGGGCCTGCTCGAGGGCGCACCTGCCATGGGCATGGGCGGCGTTATTCGCACTGACGGCACTCATCGTACGTACAAATGCTGTGTCCTGGCACCAAGGTAACGGGTGCATGAAAATGCCAAGCTAACTTTTTCAGCTATCCGCCTCCTCATCTCCCACAACCAGATGGGCACCATTATTGGTCGTCAGGGTCTGAAGATCAAGCAGATCCAAGATGCCTCTGGTGTCCGCATGGTTGCTCAGAAAGAGATGCTTCCCCAGTCGACGGAACGGATTGTCGAGGTCCAAGGATCTCCTGCCGGCATCGAGAAGGCTGTGTGGGAAATTGGCAAGTGTCTCATTGACGACCACGAGCGTGGCTACGGTACTGTCCTCTACAATCCTGCTGTTAGAGTCCAGCCCGGCGTGGGTCCCGGTCCCGCGGCGAATGGTGGCAGCGCACCCGCCGGTGGTATGGGCGGCGGACGCTCGTACAACCGCACTGGCCATGGCGCTGACTTTAGTGACTCGCCGCCTGCCTTCTCTCGACGGTCCGGTTCGGATGCTGCCAGCAGGCCACCGCCCCCTACACACACGGAAGACGGTGAGGAGATGCAGACGCAGAACATTAGCATTCCGTCTGACATGGTTGGTTGCATCATTGGGCGCGGCGGCAGCAAAATCAGCGAGATTCGAAAGACCTCGAATGCTCGCATCTCCATTGCCAAGGCTCCCCACGACGACACTGGCGAGCGCATGTTCACCATCACTGGTAGTGCCAGTGCTAACGAGAAGGCCTTGTACCTCCTGTACGAGAACCTCGAGGCTGAAAAGATGCGCCGCAGCCAGGCGCAAGAGTAGACGGCTATGCTAGCACATCCTTCCACATTGGACACGATTGTGGGTGGTGCTGCCTCCACGCCACCCATTGAAACTGGCGAGTTTACTAGGAGGCCATACAGCCGCTACATGATATTGCTGGTCCTTCACGTTCGACAGCCATCTGTACGTGTCATTCCCTAATGAAGGCCCACCGACATGAGATCCAAAAGCATGAGCTTGATTAGTTTCTTACCTGCTGTTAAATGATGGATACCACGGATTTTTTGGGGGCATTGTTTTAACTTTTTTTTATTGTCGAGAGAGAGATCGATATCCAAGTGCACGCTGAGCGGTTCACGAATGTCATGATGTTATGGCCTTTGATATCCGGATCGCGCATGTGCTCATGGGTAGCAGCGCTAGTATCCATTTTGTGGTTTTTCTGGCGAAGAAGAGATGGGGCAGATATGAGTTTAGTCTCATTGCCTCGAGCTCTATGGTAGCACTTCAATGTGCTTTCCCTAATCACTCCCTCACCATTCCCCTGCTACAGCCCGTCACTCCTACCGATACCTACCTACTAGATACAATCAATCAAACATATTATGTCGGCATGTGAGATGTTGTAGCCCAAGGGGCAGTGATCCCAAGTATAGATATAGAGGAGATGAGCTGGCCTTTGCACAAGAAGCACAGCGAGGCTGCGAACGGCTGGACCCTCGCTGGTCGACTAGCGCATGTACGTCATGGTGTCACGCTTTGACACGAAGCACAGGACGCAAGTGCCGTTGGCCCCCCCCCCCTCGCTAACAGCTCAACCAGCGTCGGACCACTGCGGGTGGTGCACCACCATCCAACACGTCGACAGCCTCGAGAGTGCTGGCGAGGGCGCGTTGTCGAGTGGACGAGTAGTGCTCGAGGCGCGGCAGCCCTCTGATGCGGTGAGGTTCGGCAGCGGAGCTCGCTTATCCTGCTGTGCTTGCCAGGTTTGGTAGTGCCAGGGATCGCCCAGAATGCCGGAGATTGGTAGACTAGAGAGCACCGCACAGCTTTGACGCCCGACCGATTTCCGAGGCTGGGATGGCAGTTGTCTTTTCATGAGCTATGCTGTTCTAGGAAGGGGTGCATAGTGGTTAAAGATGATTCTTCTTGACCGCACATTCCCTCTTTTCCCTCCCCGTCTCTTCACCTCGACAGACTTTTTTGCCCGTCACTCAAACTGCACCAAACCACCCATACCAAGTCACATCAGCACTACACCACCATCTGGACCAGAGACAGCACTCAAGAAACATCATACCACCGGCACATTCTGACAGGATGGCGCCCGTTCAGACACAAACCATGACATCCCACCAGTTCGACAACCCAGTCACAGTCATCCGAGCCTCCGGACGGATATCCAAACCACCAGCGCGCTCCACACGCACACAAAACAAGGCGCTCCTGTCACATTCGCCACAGATTCCCACAGCACACCCAGACATTAACATCACATTACTCCGCAACAAGTTGCTCCTGCAATGCCGGAGATACCTACCCTCGGACCTCCTTCATGAAGCACTGGCAGACGGCATCTACTCCCGTGCCACTCACTGGATCACGCCGTGCTCGAGCGCTGCGTCCAAATTTGGCAAGCGGAAGAGGTACTACGTGCTTGACTCGTCGACATTCACGTTCCAGTCTCTTGGCAGCGCATGGGAAGCGCGGATCCTGTCGGGTGGCAGCCAGCCCATTGACGCTGGCAACGGGGTTGTCATCTTTGTCAAGGAGAGAAAGGAATGGGACGCCTTTATGGCGGGGTACAGAAGGCAAGGCAAGCGAGCGGGGCAATTGATGAAGCTCAAGCAAAAAGACACAGAGCGAGGGTGGCGAGACGCGTGGAAGCGAAAGTGCGGTATGGAAGAGGGCGGGGGCAAGGAAGTGAATGCCGGGCCCATGTGGGTGCTGGTCAAGAGCGCTGTTGCGAAGATTGTCAAGGGCGAGGCCTGAGACCAGCAAGGGGAGCGGGAGGAGAAGTTGAAGCTCACGTGTAGCAGCTTAGGGCAGAATGAGGCGGAGAGGGCGAGGTGCGTGGGCGGCGGGGTGGGGAGGGAGAGCGGTTAGCATCATCAGCAGGCCGGAAGCAAAGGGCTAGGCCTCGGCGTTTTTCTCTTTGCATCATTCTTAGCGAGCATTTTTTTAGACACGACCATTAACGATGGCTGGGGGGGGGGCGGTAAGCGCGTTCCTCAGCGCAACAACACCAGTAGAGTACATACATAGAAACACATGTATCCTTAATGGAAAACACGCACAACACAAGAACGGCAGCACGGCTTTGTCCGCATTGTTTCACCCTCCCTTTCGGCGCTATTTTTTTTCCTCATGTGCCCGTCTGCGCTCGTCCCTCCCCTCCCTTCCTCCCCCCGCCCTGAGCTTGAGACGTCCGCCCCACAGGGGACAAGGCCACAAGGGCGGGTGGTGGCCATGCTAATCGCCCACTGGTTCCGAAACGCTAGCTTCCGAATTCCGATTCCCGAAAGAGGCTCAAACGTGGCTCGTGCCGCTCACATTAGCGTTCTCCGTCCTTAGCTCCGGCGCGCCGCACTTGAAGCCACGGTTGTCAAGGCAGACCGCGAGGGCCAGAGACAAGAAATCATCAGGCCCTAAAGCCAGGTGTTCATTCTCGCCTTGGTGGCTGTTGTTTCGTTTATCATCGACATTACCCGGTGGATTTGACTCTTGCGCTTTCTCATTTCTACTTTTATCAGCTTGTTGCTTTTCATTTTCTGAGCGCTCATCTCCCTGCGCCTGTCCACTCCTTTTATCCCCCTCCAACCTTGCATCGTCGACGCAGAAGACTCGCAAACAACCGCATTACGAAAGAACAAAATGGCACAGGCAGTGCGCCGCAAGGCCAACGAAACCAATGGCCATGCGCACCACCGTCTAGACGATGCGGTGCACTCGATTGAGCAAAAGCTGGAAGAGCAGGCGGAGCTGCATGCGCGAAACCCTCAGGAACAGAAGGAGGCAGGACTGTTCCAGCTCGTCATTTGCGTCGCTGGTATCTACGGTAGTTTGTAAGTATCACAGCACGCATATGCGACAAAGGAATACACGCTGACGAGCGCAACCCCAGCATGACATGGGCCTGGATCCAAGAGCGTCTAACAACCACCACCCACGGCCCCTCCAACCAACGCTTCACATACTCCATCTTCCTCAACACCATCCAATCCGCCTTCGCCGCCATAACCGGCCTAATCTACCTCTTCCTCTCCGCAAAGAAAGACCCGAAAACCGGTGTTCGCACCGTCGCCCCCATTTTCCCTTCCCGCAACATTCTCCTCCCCTTACTAGGCATCGCGCTGACCTCGTCACTTGCCTCACCTTTCGGATACGCAAGCCTCAAGCACATCGACTACGTCACCTTCATCCTTGCCAAAAGCTGCAAACTGCTCCCCGTCATGTTCCTCCACATTTCCCTCTTCCAAAAACGATACCCACTGTATAAATACGCAGTCATCGGCTTCGTAACCCTCGGCGTCGCAGTCTTTACCCTATACAGCCCGTCCACTGCGAAGAAGGCCGCCAAGAAAAGCGGGAGCGTGAATGCGGATGCGTCGCAGACTGTCGGCTTGGTCTTGTTGGGTGTGAATTTGCTGTTTGATGGTCTGACGAATACGGTCCAAGATCACATTTTCACGTCGTTCAAGGGTTTCACGGGTCCCCAGATGATGTGTGCGCAGAATATCATGTCAACGGCACTCACAGTCTCGTATCTCCTCATCACCCCTCTTCTCGCCTCGACCCCGCTAGCCTCCTCGCTCGGCCTCGCCACCTCGGAACTCAGCGATGCGCTGGGTTTCATCTCCAAATACCCGGCTGTGGGCGCAGACGTCCTCATGTTTTCCGCCTGCGGTGCTATCGGCCAGGTGTTCATCTTTCATACCCTCGCCCATTTTAGCAGCTTGTTGCTTGTTACCGTCACGGTTACCCGTAAGATGCTGACTATGGTGTGGAGTGTGTGGTGGTTTGGACACGAAATTACGAGTATGCAGTGGGTCGGTGTTGGACTTGTGTTTGGTGGTATTGGTGCTGAGGCGGCGATGGGGAGGAGGGAAAAGGCTAAGAAGGCGGCGGCTAAGAAGGCTGAGTTGGAGGCTGCTAAGAAGAGGTAGATGGAGTTTCGGTGAGTTGAAGATATGGCGATGCTTCTTTTTCTTCTTCTTCTTTTTTTTTTCTTGTACATTCCAACGCACATTGCTGGTTTCTTTGCTCTGGAGACTTTTTGGAAATAGGGGGGAAGGGAAGGAGCACACCATATACCATAGACAAAGAGTGTAGAAACACCAATGTAGAAAGTTCAACCATCTTTCTCCCAAACCCCCCCCCCCTCCCCTCATCTCCTCTAATACACACGCTATCTAATTCTAAATCTACTCCACAACCCCCTTCCTCGCCCACTCCCTAAGCACATTCTTCTGAATCTTCCCCGTACTCGTCTTAGGCAACTCCCTCACAACCACCACCTCCCTGGGTACCATGAACCGACTAATATGGCTATTCTCTTTCGCCCACTGAATCACCTCCGCACCCAGCGTGTCGCTCTTGGAGCCATCTTTCGTAGTGACGAAGGCCTTGGGGCGCTCACCCCAGTGGGAATCCGGGACGGCGCAGACGCCGACTTCGAGGATGGCGGGGTGGGTGGAGAGCATTGCTTCGAGGGCGACTGAGGAGATGTTTTCGCCGCCTGGAAAGCAAACGTTAGTGTATAGATTTTGAAAGTGGGGGAAAAAGGGGGAACGTACCACTAATAATAATATCCTTTGCTCGATCCAAAATCTGAATTGCGCCATCAGGATGCCAGACTGCCAAATCACCCGTGTGCAACCATCCCCCTTCCCACAGCTTGCGTGTTGCCTCTGCGTCTTTGTAGTAGCCTTTTGCGCAGATATTGCCTTCGAAGATGATTTCGCCGATTTCCTGGCCGTTTTTCTCTACGTTTGTAAGGACGCCAGCGGGTTGCTCGGGTTTGATGACGCGGAGGGCTTTGGCGACGATGAAGCCGTGGCCCTGGCGTGCCATGCGGCTGTATTTTTCTTTGTCGGGGAGCGTGTCCCACTCGGGCACGTGGTAGCCCTTTGTGATGGGGCCGTAGGTCTCGGTTAAGCCGTAGACGTGGACGGGGTTGAGGTTCAGGTTTGACATTTGCTCAAAGAGCCAGGCTGAGGGTGGGGATGCTGCTACGGTGACGCGGACGGGTTGGGGCAGGCGTTCGGCTTCCTTGGCTGCGCAGAGTAGTGTGTTGACGGTTGGCGCTGCGTTAAAGTGTGTTATCCCTTCTTCCTTGAGCAGGCGCCAGATTTCTGGGTAGTCAATCTTTCGAAGGCAGTAGTGTGTACCTCGGACAGCGGTGACGGACCAGGGAAAGGTCCAGCCGGTGGCGTGGAACATGGGTAGTGTCCAGAGATACTTTGCGCGGCCTGAATGGTAGTTGAGCCCGGATTCAATGATATTGCCCATGGCAGCGAGATAGACGCCGCGATGTGTGTATTCAACCCCCTTTGGTCTGGCCGTGGTCCCACTCGTGTATGCAAGCGCAATAACGTCTTCCTCGTTCTTAGCATGCGATTCCAGGTTCTCCCATCCTTTACCGCCCTGCTCTATATCATACTTCAGTCCCTCCAACACCGCATCGTCAAAAGGACCCGAGAGCTCGCCCTCGGTGGCATCCATGTCCGTGTCGACTAGGATTGGTACATCCGGTTTTGCCTTTCTATAATCGTCTAGCAGGCTCACAAATTCCGCATCCGCGATAATCATGTCTACGTCCGAATGTTGGAAAATGTAGCTAATATCATCGGGTTTGAGCCGATAATTGATAGCTACATTTACAGCTCCCGCGGCCGCAATTCCAAATATGCTCTCCAGGAACGCTGGCGTATTGGTCGCCAGTATACCCACTCTCTTGTATCCATGTTTCTTCAAGTAGTATGCCAGTCCTCGCGCGCGATCCGCAGCTTCGGCATAAGAACGCCGCAGGATCTGGTTGTTCGCAGTCTTGTGGTATATGGCCAAAGCATCAGGCTCAATCTGTGCAGCGCGCCAGAGAAACCATGTCGGGCTGAGCGTGTGGAAGTTGTTTCTGTGGTGGTATTCGTGGCTATCGCCGGGTTGGATGGGCGGCGGACCGGGTACGGGGTTTGCAGAGGTGAAGTGCGATGCGAGCTGCTTGAGACGGTCTTTGGCACCCTCCATGGTGTATGTCTTGTATCCAACAACAATTGGGATGAAACAAGCTTTTATACACACACGAGCTCCAGGGGCGATCTACAAGCTTGGCCAAGCTGAGCTGAGCTATAGACGCGTGAATGCGGAGTAAGTCCGCTGTGGGTTCAAGTGCGAGAGATGTCCGAACTCTTTCGCGCCAGGGTACTGTAGGACTGTGATGACAATCTCAATAACATTCAAAGGGGCACGGTCAGCAAAAAGCAACATTCAAGTAAATCACAACCGAAGCCCCAAAAAGAGACGCGTTTAGGCAGTGCTGGGCGGGTTAACACGTAGAGTCGTTACCTACGACGCCGGGTTGGGGAAATCTGGGGAAGAGATCTGATGCGGGACGACGTCAGGGCCGAGGTTAAGCGCTAGCTGGCTTGCCATCTTGGCCATTGGCCATCCGGCCATCCTTCCGACCGCGGCGGTTCTGCGTGCACATTGCCTGGCTTGCTTGTGCAAGATGACGGTATGAATTGCACTATTGGTCTGGTCAAATGCATTGTCAAAGGGGACTGAATTGGATTAACAACATAACCGCCAGTCTATTGCGAACGCTCAACGCCATCAACATGCTTTACATCAGCTGTGATTTTTCATTTCGTATTGCTTCTAGCCGGAAGAGTACCTGAAGACACAGCAGACCGACCGCAAAGAGACCCATGAACACGTAAGCACTCTGGTATTGATGTGCTCTTTTAGCCTGGACACCCTTTCGAATGGTCGGAGTATAGTAGAGGAAAGAAACATCCCATGAGCCAAATGCAATCCACGCCGAACCACATCACCGAAACCGACACTGGTCATCAACTGCCGTTTTCTAGTATCCGAGGGCGGTAAGCTGCTCCTGGGTCTTGCTGTCCACGTTGGCCGTCTTCTTGGCCTCGGCCAACTGCCGTCGGAGGGCCTTCTTGCGCTCGTAGTAAGCAGCACCCTTGACCTTCCTGCGCTCCTCAAGACTGCACAAAATTTTGTTAGCAACACAAATTGGTGTGTGATAGTCACAAAAACATACCGGGCAACAACGTCCTGGTACTTCCAGCCGAACTCGTGGCCGAGACGTCCGACAGTGCAGTACTTGCGGCCAGGCTTGAGCCTCAGTACCCTCAGGGCCTGGGGAACAACGACGCGCTTCTTCTTGTCGTAGGGGGCGGGGATACCCTCAAAGGTCTTGAGGCGCTCCATGGCGGCGGCACCACGAGCGGTCTTGTGGGGAATCATGCCACGGACGGTTCGCCAGAACATCTTGGAGGGGGCGCGGAAGTGGAAGGGACCTGAACGGCGGATTAGCACGTCGTCGGCGAATTGGCACACAGCAGAATTCTTGCTGCCAGAGTGCCGCAGATGTATAGGGGAGACATACCACCGCGGGTGGGGTTGAAACGGGTCTGCTTGCGCAGGAAAGCCGAGTACTTCACTGTATGACGCTGTCAGCAGCCGTAGTTTATTTGTTGGAGTGTTCCAAGAGCGCTTCGCAAGAGCAGCCACAATGCACATCAACAACCATTCAATGCCCTTTGGTCAACCCCTTTTCGTGTGCATTCATTGTGGCCTGCTGCCTACGTCGCTTGCTCGTATTCGGTGGGTGAACGTACGCTTCGCGCGGAAGAACTCGCCGGAGATGTTGAGAGCCTCACATCGTACGACGACGATCTTCTGGCCATTGAGGAGCTGCTTGGCGACGGTGCTGGCGAGGCGACCGAGCAAGTGGCCCTTGCCGTCGATGACCTGGGTGCGCTGTCAGCGAGAGACTCCTTGGAAAGCAGCTTGTGCATTGGTGTTGACAAAAGGCGCGGGCTGGCACAGCGACCAAGTGCAACCGCGTGCGCTAGAAATATGCGGCTTCGTGTATTCGGGGCGTACGTACAATGACGGGTTCGAAGGTCGACATTTTGCTCGACTCCGGTGTGCTGTGAGGTTAGTTGTCGTGAGGAAAGAGCTCGTTGCAGCGGATTCCAATACCACCAACAGGCTAAGCGAATATTTCCACTGGTGTGTGTGTGGCCCGTGCACGGCTTAGCGTCGCTCGAGAAGCCTCTGCCAGTCCTCTTCAGCGCAAGATGCTCGTTTGGGAGGCGAAGCACCTCACCGAATTTGAGAGCTTTGTGCAGAGCCCTGGAGCTTGGTGTTGTCTCTTTTCGTTGCGCTTATCGAAATCGGGTGGGAATAGTAGTACCGTGGTGCTGAGACAGCACTCAGGGAGTACCACGATCCTCAGAACGGCCATTTCCAAATCCGCCAAATGCCTCTGTGATTTCCTTACACCTGTGGCAGTCCTTTACAATTGACAGATACGTCGCATCCAGTTACTGCAGTTGTGTTTATCCAGATTCCGTGTATGGTTGACGTTGAGCATACCTGGCCGTGAGAAAAATAGCACCAAGTCAATTTTTGTACTTTGCGCCAAGTTCGCAGCACGTTGACCACACAGCAGCTTACACAAGGAACGCCCGAGTTTGCCTACAGAGAAACGTACATGCCTGAAAATACGCGGATTAAGAATTTTTTCTCATACCAAAATCGCAATCGATTCGTTCCTTTTTTTTGATAACACACTCACAATGATATATCTATGGGTGATGTTGGCAGGTACGCCCTGCAACTCTCCGTTTCCTGCATTCGCACAAATTGAGGTGTACTACTCTCGAATCTTTCCAAGGAACGCGCAGTCGCTGTTGATTACGATGCGAAATCGCTGACTGAGTGGCTATCTCCTCTGCCAATAGCCCTTACGCTTGTATACTGAACTAGCCATCGATATCTGATTGATTTTTTCATCATGCCATGTTGGTGCGGATGAGCTGACTATCAATCAACCGGCTCAGTTGTGCGACGAATCTTTACCATTCCATTTGCCAGCTGTACCCACTCACCCACTCACTCACCAGCACTTGTCCTTTGTCACAAAAGAAGCTTCCCGCACACGGAAGCCCATATACATGGTTGCAAGCAAGCTTGTTGTGCATAGGCCTTGATATTGCATCACTGGGAGATCTATGTCCGTTTAACACGAGAAATGACCGCAGAAATGCCGTCAACTTACCTAAAAGCTTTTTTTTGATCTACCCCAACTTCTGCATATGCAATTATTAAACCTTAGAGATCGGAAATAGTCGATCATAATTCATCCCTTCCCGACAGCACCAGGCTGCGTATGTTGTCTCATAGGTCTAGAGATTCAATTTCCCACATCCAAACTCCGCGTGCGAGACAAGCTCCATCGCCTACATCAGAGAAAGCGGTGGACTGAAACCACTGTTATTAATATATAACACATATGATAATGCCTGAGTTTCGTTAGTGGTGTGTACTTATGCGAATGGCTAGACATGCTCACAGAACAGGGCTATTGGGGCGTACGCTCACAACTGCATGTCTAGACTCCAAGACCTGGTCAGCGTGAGAGCAACAATCTTGGCATTTCATCATGTTTATGCATGGTTCATTCCAAGTGTCAGCGCAACGCCGAAAGTCAAAGTCATTCACCGGGGGCCCAACCTGATGTGCGTATCTGACTTTTCCTGTGCCTTGGCCATTTCCCACGTACATACATTTCCAATTTGCTAATGCACGGAGCAGAATCTTTGCAGACAACAGATGTTGGTCAACCCAATCCTGCGGATGTCGTCACAACGATCGTCGCATCCCCTGGATTTTCGCCTCTAGGTTTTCCACAATCTTACCACAATCTTACATACGTTCTGGTCCAACAATCTGGCACGAAGCCCAGTTATCACTAGTAAGCAACGGGTCCATGCAAACTATGTACTTATTCCCTACTAGTTGGCGTAAATGGTAAAAACTCGGCTTTTAATGGTCCCTACATTCGAGAAACCATGACTAGAGCAACTTTACAAGGCTGTGACGTCTGCGCAAGCCAACGCCTGGCGAAAACGTTGAGATCGATCGCGGTCTTTTATGCCGAAACTAGATACAAACCAACAAACAAGTTCGCAATTATTGCTCGGTGGTTAGTATTGCCTAGACGCTATGCGCTGGCTGTTGACCGCATGTCTTTCAATACGATCGACGCGGTCGTTAAACTGTGATCGAGCGCACAGATGTGCGACCCATGTGACATTTGACCGTCTGTTCGCAGATGAAAGGGGACAGTTTCAGTGTACTGCAATATAGATAGTCCATATTACCCCATGCAAAAGGAACAGGAAAAGCGTTATCCCATGTACGAGATTCCACCCGTCATCGGCCCCTTCTCCGCTGTTGTTGAGAGGTCATCCTTGGACTTTGGATGGTTGCCGTCGGCTAGCCACGTAGTCATGGTCCTGGCTGGCATGCTGCCACACTAAGTCGTGTCATGCGCCACAGCAAAACGCAGACGACTTGGCAACCCTGAACATCTGCACATCTGCGCTTGGCATTATGCACGTAACCTGCTTCTCAGCCACGTTTCACGCAGTGCAACACCAGCCGAGGACGCGACATGCGCCACTCCTTGGGTGGATATTGTTCCAGGTTTTTGAGTTGTGGCGCAAAAGGAATCGTACGTGATTGCTCTTTGTGTGGCTAGGGCCGTGGCTAGGGCCGTGGCTAGTGGTGTGGCTAGTGCAGTGGCTATGACAACAGCCGGTGCATGAGACACATTGGCATCTCGGCTTACATGTCGATTTGCACCCTGCGACTCATGGCAAGCAGCCAGTCAGAGCCGCCCTTTGGGCTGAACCAGCTGAGTCAGCCGGAAGTCGGCACCTCTAGCTCGATAATATGCGCCACTAAACATCGTACCCATCAAAAAGGTGTTCCCACCTCCAACATCCGCATTCGGAGCTCTCTTCATGCCAAGGGGCCTTGTTATGACGCAGGTGTGCAGTATCGGTACTTCCGAGAGGCACGAATGGGGTGACGCTCTACTTTTTTCCCCTTTTACTAAACAGCAATAGGCCACCGTTACTCAAGGAATCGCTTGGCCTGTCTTCAGCAGCAGACTTCGCCATGTGCGTGTGACCGTATTGCGAAGGAGCGCCTCGCCAATCCAATACGCTTTACCGGTACATACAAGGAACCTACGGGGAAACTAACGCGGGAAACCCGTCTTCCCCCCTGCTGTTCCAAAAAAGGGCAGTCGGCGGGCAGATGGCTCACGAAGCGGGCATGGACGGGCGCTGCCCACCTGTCAGCTCTCCTCTTTTATTCGATAGTTGGGCGCATACAGTCTTGCAATGACTCTGCTATGCTGCGTAGGTCCGTACATATCACGCTGACAAGAGAAACAGCCAAGGCATGGCTGGAGCACTGTGCGATGAATGAAATCGGTGAAGCAACCGCCGAATGCATGGAGACTAGGGTCACCAGCCGCAGTCAAGCCACGCTGTCATGTTTCTGGCGACTTTATCCGACGCTAAGAAGGTAAGGCTGGGCAACTGGGTCAAGTGGAGAGGACGATGCTTCGGAGCCTCGCCCTTGTCCACATCCCGAGAGTTTGTATCTGGAGGGGATGAAAGAATTGCAACCGGTTGATAGCAACATGACGGATCCGTTAGTAACGATATAGGGTGTGGGCACCATGACCTCAAGCGAGAGTTGTTGACTGATGATCGTTACTCGAACAAGAGGCTTTAGAGCGCACGAGGAGCAACAAAAGAAGGCCAAGCTGCGACGGGACAGCGGGTCACGCCACTAGTAGGGCCCCCGGCGGTGCAGCGCCACGGCCACAGATCCGCTTCTCTTCGCTTCAATGTCCAGAATGTATTGTTAGGCAGGGCCCCAACTGGAGCCGTACCATATGGCTGCTTCTTCCGTGGCGTGGATGGCGGCTCAGCAGGACCCCTCACCTGTGTTCCCCGTGGCATGGGCTCCCAGCTGTGTGACGCCACAGGGCGCATATTGAGCCATGGTAAGTGCTGACCACTGACCGCGATAGTGGTGTGCAGCTCCCGCTGTGCGTCCCAGGAGGTCTGAGTGCCGCCAAATCACCATTGCCACTGCCGCGAGTGGGGGCGGGAGCCCATGAGATAACCGTCATTCAGGTTCAGCCAAACGGTACAGTAAATTCGACGGCTTGCTCTAGGCAAGCTCAATAGATGACTGTGATCTTATTCATGGGGCCCCCAAGGCTACGTGCCGAGACCATAACCCAAAACCCGAGCTTGGCCTACAGGTAACAATAGAAAACGGACAACTCGGCGGACAGCAACGATTCGACTATTCGACTCCATCCATCGCCCAAGCCCGGCGGGACGGTGCCCATGCGACATGCGACATGCGACGGCGCTAACCCTAGAACTAATACGTGACCCACACGCTTCTCCGCCGCAGTATAACCCTGTCGGAAGCATCCACCAGTTTACTCTTAGGCGCAGCATTCCCCCCAGCCACAGGACGCGATGCTCGATGCTCTCCATCTGCCAACCATGACTTCCCCGGCCCTCACGACAGCTGAAGACCTGCCGGCAGAGTCTGTCCGCTCCGCCCCTTTGGAAACCCATCAAGAAGACACATCCGAATTCGGCGAAGAAAACTCGGAAACTAATGACGTCGGCGACGATCAGCCACCCAAGCCGCAGCCTCAGAAAAGACGACGGGTGACACGTGCCTGTGATGAATGTCGGCGCAAGAAAATCAAATGCGACGGCAAGCAGCCGTGCACGCATTGTACCGTCTATAGTTATGGTATGTTGGTAGCCACGTGTATAGCCGGAAATAATCCTGTCATCTTTTGAACCCACGCTAACACGGTACAGAATGGTAAAAAAGCCCCCCGGATAGAACCGGACATTGCAAAATCTCAAACTAACATGCTGCAAGTACTTACGATCAACCATCAAACCGCCGACGGAACGCAACTCCTCAGTATATTGAGGCCTTGGAGAGCCAACTGAAGCGTGCCAAAGCCTTATTGCAGGTGGTGCTCCCAACTGTAGATTTAAACGACCCTGCCATCGATGCCCACCTTCAGAATGGATTGCTACCACAGCTACCCCAGGCGGCTCCCCGACTTCCCGTGATGCCCATGGAATCACGCGCGCCCCATCATCATGTCCCTTTGCAAAACGAAGATGTTCCTGACTCACATCTAGAGGCCATGGTCAAGGCGACAGGCCAGCTGGATCTTGACGAAGAGGGAAACTGGGATTACCAAGGCCATTCTTCCGGACTTAGCTTCATGAGGGGGCTTCGCCAATTTGATGACATGTTCCAAATTCTACCAGATGCTTCGCCATCTTTTAAGCAACGTACAATGTCTTATGATGCCTCCTCACCAAGTGCTCTTTCCATAGCTGGATCTACGTCTTCAGCGATCAATGTGGCTCTTCCCAGCAAAGAAGAGGCACGCACTTTGTGCGACAACGCCATTATTCAGTATACTGCCATGCTCCGAGTGGTCCATCTTCCTACTTTCTATGAGCAGATGGAACGCGTATACAAAGTAGCACCCGAAAATTACGGAAGTGCTGAAACTAGTTTCTTGCCTCTGCTTTTCGCTGTTCTGGCCCTGGGAACGCTCTACTCAGAGAATGAGCAGGGTGCTGATGTTACAGGCTACGATGCCCTAACTGACGAAGGGTAAGTGATTCTCCCAATGGACGCCAGCACCCTCAAGCTAACATACCCAGACTCAAGTACTTCAAGGTTTCCCGCCAACTCCTGGACATTACTGATTGTAGAGATTTAACCTCGCTTCAAGCCATTGTTTTCATGATACAGTTTTTGCAGTCATCGGCCAAGCTTAGCACATGCTATGCGTATATTGGAATTGCCCTACGCTCAGCACTGCGTATGGGTTTGCACCGTTCGTTCAATGTCACATTCTCGCCTATCGAATCTGAAACACGTAAACGTATATTCTGGGTTATTCGGCGAATGGACACATATGTTGGAGCTATGCTCGGATTACCGCGATTCTTGGAGGACGAAGATATCGATCAGGAATGGCCGGCCGAAGTTGATGACGAATACATTACAGAGACTGGGATTCTGCCTATGCCAGAAGGAACCATTTCCGTAATGGCTGCTTTCAACGCGCATACTCGTCTCGTACAAGTACTGAACAAAATCTGCAAATATGTGTATCCTATCAAGGGTACGCAGTCGGGCGGCAAGAATTCGGTAACCTACACTGTGGGTTACTCCAAGATCCGAGAAATTGAGAAAGACTTGGCACGCTGGCTAGACGAGTTGCCCGCCGCACTGAAGCCTGGTGGCGAGGTTCCACCTGTTATCAAAAGGTATGTTTAGAGTCCCTTTTCTATGCTTGTTACATCTGCTGATAGACATGACAGGGTTCAACAGCTTCTTCGCATGGCTTTTGGACATGCACAGCTCTTGCTATACCGGCCATTTTTGCACTATGTTTCACAATCTTTCAGCGCCAAAGCTGTTGACCAGAGGGCATTTGCATGCGCCTCTGCTTGCGTCAACGTCTCCCGTAACATCATCCACATCTCCACAGAAATGCGGAAGCGCGGTGTACTAGCCGGGGCATATTGGTTCTCCATGTACACGACATTTTTCGCTATCGTATCAATTCTCTATTTTGTATTGGAAAATCCTACTAGCCCCACCAGTTTTGAGTTGCTACGAGATGCTGTGGAGGGCAAGGAGGTACTGGCCTATTTTGCAAAGAGAAGTCTGGCAGCTGATAGGTGCAGTATTGCGCTTGAGGTACGCAAAACCCAACCTCAAATAAACCCGTTACGCTAACCATTTTCAGGGCATGTTCGAACGGCTACCAGAGTCTATTAGACATGGTGGAGAGATCATTGCGTCAAAAAAACGCCGACAAGGAAGCTCACCGCAATCCTCAGGAACAAGACCTACCTTGGCCAGTCAAAAAGAAACGATAAGCCCACGACGAGCGAGCACCTACCCTGACAACATTCCACACGTCAAGACGGCTGGCCCTGACGCGTCCTATCCGTCTCCCCACAGTCATTTTGCTGGGATTGGCTCAAACTCTTCATATCCCTCACACTCAATCTCTAACCCTAACTTGTTCGATGGTGTTCCGGGTCTCACACCTACCTCTTCCAATGACAGTCTGCCAAGCTTTGGTATGGCCCCTATTCATGACGCGCAACAAAGCTCGGTCTACAGTCCTTCGGTTTTGAGCAACTCATTCACAGATCCATCAGGCATGAATGTGCCAATCGCAGATATCTCGACTATGATGTTTCCTTCTACCGACCCTCTTGCCTATCCGAATCAACCAATGACTGCTTTCGAAAACAGGCATCCTCAAGCGTTTGATCGCACCAGTGTTCCACCGGTGAGCAGCGGCCTTCCACACCCAATGTCGTCCGGCATAGACGTGAAGGGGCATCCTCCCATGTTTGCACCAACCAGTATGCCCGGTGGTCAAGGCCGACCACAGAACGACAACGAAGCCCAACTGTTTAGTAATATTCCCATGTACTTGATGCAAGGCGCACAGCAGTATCGAACCTATCCACAGCCAGGGATGCAAATACAAGGACCACACAATGTTCAGTTCGATGACTTGCTTACCCAAGAGGACTGGTCACATTCTTTCATGGACCCGGCGTTGACCATGGGTAATGGGAGGCCGCCACATCAGCAATTTATCCCGCATGGGTGGCGCTGAGACAGCGATTCCAATGGACACATGATTAACCGAACTGGAGTGCTCCTAGATTCGGAATGCCGCTTATTGTTCGACTGAGAGCCCTAATCTCAGGTCAGAGAACTGCCACAAGGTGGAGCCCTTACAAACCATTCAAATAAATGACGCCACCACATCCCGGACATCTTCGGCCACCCGGCCTCTGCGCATTACGAGCAACGGCCATACATTTTCCTTAGTGCATATGATTTCCATTGGCGTTTTCAAGTATCAAAAGCGTTATACCCCAAGGCAACCGGCTGGCACCGAGAAATTAAGCATTTTTCAACGGTTGGTGGAGGGTGAGGGCAGAGCCTCGCTGCTCAACGTTGCAACTCCGGTGTTCACTTCGATTGCGACCTGTACAATTCGCTCTAGTGTTACTTTTGTTTTGTTGGTTCCATAATTTTATTTTTCCAATCTAGGGCGGCGTTTGACTAAACAGAGTAGAAGGATGAATATACGGACTCGCGGTTGCTAGTCCCTTCAACAGAGAGTTTCTTTTTTTCGCAAGGGTATTCGGGGAGAGGGGGTAGAAGTTGAAGAGGCACATTGCCTCAATTCGTCTCGTAAGATGATAACCAGCTGCCTTATTAGAGTAGTAAATCAATACACGCATATCAACGGCACATTTGATTCCAATTGTAAGAAACGGCGGACCAATTCAAACGGGGCACCTCGCCTCTTCTTCCAGGCAGAAACCGCAGAACGCTACTAACCGTATTGCGCATTTGCTCTGCAGTTTGCCGAGCGAATAGCCGAGCATCCAATGACCACGACTATCCTTGGACGAAGCTCGAGTAGTCGAGGACCAGTGACTGCAAGACACTGCATGTAGGCGTAAAGCGGACAGGAAGATGCTGCAGCAGGGCGGGGTAGAAGAAACCTCGCGGTATTTCCAAGACCGATGCCTAGCAATTACACCATCCGCCAAGTCAGACTACTCTTCTGGGTTATCATTCGCCAAGCACAAGCACCGCCATTAGCAGCGCAGTCCAAAGTGGAGAATTCGCAACCGCCAAGCGTGAAGTACCGGCTTTTTACTTTGAGCCAGCTCGCAGTCAGCAAGCCCTTCTTGTTTTCTTTACCACAAGACCGGGTTTTCCGCACCCCGTACTTACACACCCCCGTCACTTGGGCTTTCTTGGAACCCAAGCCTACGTATCTAACGACCTTCTTAACCTGGATGATGGGTGTAGATGTAGAGGTTAGCCTGCCATGTACTGATAGGCTCAGTTTGCTTGTCATGTTGCGAACGGGCGGTGTTGAGTCGGACCAAGGATGATGATGAGGTGGGGGACGGCTTTCTAGGCGGTTGGGGGATAGTGGGAAATGTATTAGTAGCGTATATATATATGATGTGAGTGTGTTACCTGGTTCTTGGGAAGAGCAGCGAGTTCTACTGCGGGCTTTTTCTTGTCCTTCTAGAAGTTGAGGCTCTTGTGGTAGTAATCATGGTTTTGTTGCCCTTGTTGTCGGTGCTTGGCTCTGCTGCCGTGAGCAGGGCGGCAATGCTTGGTACCGCTGCTGAGTATGACGACGGTACTGTGCACCATATGATTATGGAGATGAAGGTGGTATGTTGATATTGTTTTCTTTCTTTTTGTGTCTGTTTGAGAATTGGCTTTCGTGGCTAACGTTATAATCTAGGCCCAGTGGGATGCTGAACTTGCCTCGGGCCAAATGGACAGCTCCAGGTATCCTGAGTTGGGCTACACGCCATGTGTGGATGGTTTTGCGGCTGCAATTCCGGGAAACTACAACAATACCTTCAAGTGCCATAACGTTAGTTCTCCTATTTCTAAACAATATGGCTATGTAGCTAACACGGACCAGATTGATCTTTATCACTTCCTGCCACACCACCTTCTTGGAAGTAGCCAGGGTCAAGGTTCCTCGTCGTGGGGCTGGACATCTGAAGATGGACGTGAGTTTGTCGCCATTGGCCAATTCGATGGAACGGCCTTTGCGGAAATCACCAGAGAGGGCAAGATGGTTTACCTCGGACGGCTGCCGCAGTACGACGCCATTGGATCACGTTGGCGCGAGATCCGCGTCATGAACGACTACGCAGTGATTGGCAGTGAGGCCATCAAGCACGGAGTGCAAATCTTCGACATGAAGAAGCTGCTAGACTTGGATGGCAGCGAACCCAAGAACTTTACCCAACAGGATCTTACCGGTCATTGGGGGCTGGGCACGAAGTGGAATGACTTGCCCGTAGGCAGGACACACAACATTGTCGTCAACCCCGAACTCAACTACGCAGTTGCCGTTGGCTCCGTCGGCGGTAACGAGACTATCCGTGTCCGTGGAAACCTTCCCTGCCGTGGAGGTCTCATTTTCATCGACATGACCGACCCGTCCAACCCCACCAGCCCCGGATGTGCAAGTGGTGACGGGTATGTACACGACGCAGAATGCCTGGTATACCGTGGTCCAGACACCAGATACTACGGCCGCGACATTTGCTACGCGAGCAATGAAGATACGCTTACAATTTATGATGTTACAAATAAGACGGGTAACACGACGACGATCATCTCGCGGACGTCGTACCCGGGTGCCGAGTACGTCCACCAGAGCGCGGTCAACAACGTCACGTGGCAAGAGTACCTCTTCCTCGACGACGAATTTGATGAGCGCGACGCAAAGGTAGGACCTATGACACAGGGTCTGCCCACTACTCACATCTTCGACATCCGCGACTTGGAGAATCCCTTCTACTCGGGTAACTACGAGGGCAAGCGCCGAAGTATCGACCACAACCAATACGTTGTAGACAACTACCTCTACCAATCCAACTACGGCAATGGACTCAACGTCTTGGACATCAACTCCATCACCTCGGACCCCACTGGCGGCGGTATCTGCGAGGCCGGTTTCTTCGACATCTACCCCGAAGACGACGAGAACGAGGGCGGCGGCACTGTTGCTTTCCTCGGCTCCTGGTCCTCATACCCCTACTTCAAATCGGGCTTCATCTTCGTGCACACCATCGAGCGTGGCTCCTTTGTCGTCAAAATGACCAGCAAGGAATGCGAGAAGCCCAAAGTCTGCTCTGTCGACGGCTGCCTGAGCGGCATGCGCACAGCAAATGTCGAGGGAAGGTTGCAGGAGAGTCAAGAGTTCTGTGGCAACTTTACGCAGAGGCAGATTGAAGATGAGACGGCTGTGCCGGACTTTGCAAGGACTGCGTGTGCTGGTAATGATACTGTGGCAAGGGTTAGCAGTGCGTGTGCTTGCTTGCCTACGCTCGCGGTACCTGAGTTGCCACGTACGACGAGTCGCCCGCCGGTGCCTACGGTGTTGCCGCCCAGGCTGTAGCAAGATGTACGGAGTAATGGATGTGTTAAGAGCATTCTCATAGGAAAGCAAAAGTACAAGTCGTAGATGAAGAAAAATTAATTCTTACGCCAAGTTCCATTTCAAAAAAACAATCGCATGAGAAGTGAGATTCTTGCGTGATTTCTGTGTTATAAGATTCAGTAGCCAGTCGTCAATCTGGCATCTTGCTGAACAACGTGGTGGTGCCTGGCACACGGCTGACCAAAAACAGACTAGTGCCCGCGCCACATGCTAGCGCGCGTGGCTCAGCCGCCAAAATCGACGTAACGTCATTGTTGCTGGGTTCGCTTGACAGATGAGAGCTCGCCCACTTTCTGGACACTCGTCTTCTCCCTATTCACCAGAACCTGTTCCATTGGACGCTGCGATTGCACATGGGAACGCTGTAGCAGTCAGATCCATCTCCTACTTTTCCATCCCAAAGACGCCATCATCCCTTTATAGAGCCCATCAGCTCTCGCCGAGCATCATACATATCTACCTGCCGCACAACAATGGCAACACAACGCAAACCTCTATCCGCTGAAAGCAACGGTACTCCTACTACAGCTGAGACGCCTGCTGGTACCATGCGCCTCCCGACCTCGTCTGCTCGTCGCTCGCCGTTCCTCCCTACGCGCCTCGAGGCCCAACTCATCGCCATCTACCCGCTTACCCTCCTGCTCGGCAGCGTATTCAGCACGCTCTCGCCCTCGACGCGCAATGCGCCCTACTCGGCAAGCCTACAGTCGCACCCAGCCGAGTTTGCGCCCTCGTACTTTGCGCAAAAGAAGAACGTCTTCAACGTGTACTTTGTCAAAGTAGGTTGGCTCTGGACCACGCTCGCATTCGCCGTTTTTGTCGTCTTCCACCCCAGTTTTGGACAGGGTGCAAGCACGAGGAGATTGAGAGCATTCTTGAGATATAGTCTTGTTACCATGTGGTGGTACTTCTTAACACAGTGGTTCTTTGGCCCGCCGCTTATTGATCGCGGGTTCAGATTTACGGGCGGCCAGTGCGAGCTGCTGAGGAATGACGACGCGAGAGATGATATGAGTACCCCGAGGGAATACATCACGGCTGCAACGTGCAAGGCGGTGGGGGGCACGTGGAAGGGTGGTCACGACATCTCGGGCCATGTCTTTTTGCTCATCCTTGGGTCTTCGCTGCTATGGCTCGAGTTTCTCCCTGCATTGACGCGCGTTGAGGGGCTCAGGGACGGCAGGTTGATTACCCTACCTGATGGAAAGGTCGCGAGTGTGGCCGTGGAAAAGGACCTAGCCAAGACTGAGGGCGAGGCTACTGCTCGGGGCGTCAAGTTTGCTCTCGGCGTTGCGGCGTTGATGTGGTGGATGCTGCTCATGACCGCGGCTTACTTCCACACTTGGTTTGAGAAGTTCACGGGACTTCTTGTGGCATTTGCGGGGCTGTGGACCGTGTACTTTCTTCCAAGAGGTGTCCCGCAGGCAAGGGCGTGGTTGGGCATGCCCGGTGTATGATGAATGGGGGATGGATCATCGGGTGGATTACACGGCATTTTCAGTCTTTTAATCATGAAGGTTGAACGCGCGGAATCGCATAGCTTGCATTACGATGATGAGTAGGATGTATCGAGTAGAGGCATAACAGGCGTAGTATTGTTTAATTCCATGTACCACCATTCTGATCTCGTTTTACCTTTGCACTATTCCTTCCATCCTAACATGAGATTCGATCGTCTCCACAGGGATCAGCACCGATGAACCCCGATGCAACCAAGATCTCAATCCTCCACTACCGAAAGCCCTTTCCGCTTCACTCCGCGCGTCTTTTTTTCTTCTTTCCTGATTTGCAACAAAAAATTCCTCTGCGTGCATCATACGATGTGTAAACATCCCTGCAACCCTCTGGTCCTACTACTCCTCGGGAGAACCTAACATGCTTAACATTCTCCCGAAGCATCCAATCCCATCATCGCAAGCGGGGGTCCCCCGCACTTTCCTCCACTATCGAATGCGCACGCACAAAGTAGGGAGTACCAAGTACATACCCGAACCCCCCTCACTAGCATTAGTACCTGTACACGGGAAAAGAGCCCCCCCCCCAAAAAACGCACGAGTTATTTAACCCATGACGCCATGAATCTCCACTTTCAAACGTCGGCGCCCGCCGTTCCCATTTTTTTTCGTTCCAAATGCCCAACGTGGTAGAGCACCCGCACACGCACCATTGGCTGCAATGCTGCAAGCACCTGTCTGCCAATCACTGTGTTCTCCGTTAATTCTCCGCCTCGTTTTTTTGGCCTGATGGGGGGGTTCGCGGACGAAGTTGCTTGCTTGCTGCTAACCCCCAGGATTGCCCCCCGTTTCCCCCACTTTCCTTCCCCCTCACGGATGGTGAAGGTGCGGGTTCTTTTGGGAGTTAGGTGAGGGGGGACGATCTCGGGATGTGAGCGATCGGTCGGTCGGTCTGGCGAGGTGGGTTGGGGGAAATATGTATATATAATGGTAGCAAGTTTTTTGTTCGTCCAAAGTTTTTTTCTTCTTGTATTAATGTACTGTTGTTTGCATCGAGCTTGATCTCGCCATGTTGGGTTTCAAGGGTGTTTGTGTGTTGGGCCTATTGGTCCACGCTGTTGTTGGACAGGATGGTAGGTTTTTTGTGCAACTTGAACTTGATTGAGATATGGACTAATTGAGAGGAATGATAGCTGTTACGGCGAGTGGAACGAACTTTACGCTGACGGCGGATGGCATGTCGTACCTTTTCCATGTGGATACACAGTCTGGAGATCTCAGATCAGATCATTTTGGTGGTCCGGCAACGGATTTCACGCCTCCTGCTCGCATCTCCTCTAGCGGATGGGTTGCTGGAGTCGGCAATGCTCGTCGCGAGTTTCCTGATATTGGTCGTGGCGACTTTCGCTTGCCTGCTATCCATAT